GCCTTACCTGTTGCTTTTTGATAGGTGCCGTGCTGACTGACATCTTTGGGGTCTCAAGCAATCTGTCTTAACAGTTACTTTCTTATCTTAGGAAAGGTTTTCTGAAGGAAATTTCCCTTTATGTCTAGATTGGTTTTACTGTGTAAAAGGTGTTCTTGCTCTTTGTGGCATAATGCTTTTGCTTATGCAAGGCAGGACATACTAATTTCCATGTAGATGTTTGTTTATTTTCAACTACTTGGAAAGCAGAGTGACAGGAAAACAACCTCAAATGAATCGAAGTAGGTTTCAGATACACATGTGCTAGCTTGTTCTGGTTTTAGCCTGATTCTGATTCCAAATATGACTCTTCCCATTGTGTAACTTGTTCTTCGTAAAGTACAGCTGTATACCCAAGGACTTCTTTCCCTACATGTATATTGAAAGTGTTATGTGTTTCCTGAACTTCTTCCTCACTGAAGAGATTTGGCAAATGGAGTTTTGCCCAGGATCCTTTGCCCATGCAAAAAGCAAACAGGTGCCGGAAAGGTTGTGCTCTATTCTGGGAGAAATCTGATTAACGCTGAAGGGCCGTGTCGGGTCAGACTCAGTCTGCTGACAGATCATTTAATGTGTGCCAATCTCAACTCTAAATGCTATCTCAGATTTTAATGGTTTTCCCTGTGAAGGGCATTATAGATGAAACCAGTTTGTATTTAAAGTTAATTGTGGCTTTTGGACCAGAGACCAGTTAAAAAGAAATTCTTTCCTCAAGCATGCAGTAGTTTGAGAAGAATAAATGATTCATCAGATGGTGTTGCAAGGGCCATAATTGTATTCTGTGTTTTAACATGAATTGTGGGGTTTGAACATGTGTCATAATCTTACCCCTAGTGAAAGAAGATTCCTCAAAAGACGTTTCTGTCAAACTATCTTAATTCTTTTAATGCTTTCCTAAATTTCCTTCCAGCTGCTTGAAAAAACAGAATAAAATGTAAAATTCCTGGTAAGGTAGAGCCCTAGTAATCTATGCTACTTCTCATTCTGTCACTCTCTGGTCCCCACCCTGGAACTTGTACGTTTCACACATCCTGTTAGAAAGAAAATTCCTCTAACTAGTTTAGTAGAGTTTATCTGAGCAAAGCAAAACAAAAATGACTGCAAATTGAGCAGTTCCCAGAAAGCAGTGTAGGTTCTGAGAACTCTAACAATGTGGTCAGATGGCCTTTATAGGAAAACAGAAGTAAGGTACAGAAAACAACTGTTAGCCAATAATACCTAGTCAGTCAACCAGTCAGTTAGTTACAGCTTAACTAATTGTTTACAGCCAAATCAGTTAACTGGCTGTAGTGTCTCCTGCAACCAGTGAAAGCTCAGTTACTATAAGTAACTTTGGTCATAGGGCTCTGTGCTAGGTGCCCAGTCCAAATCTGTGCCTTCTTCAAAAACTGAGCAACCCCAGAAGTCTGTCCACCTCTGACCACGTGGCCAGTGCCTCAAGACTGAAACGCACCGCTCACTTGTCCTGCTTCTGCTCTTGCTCTCCACTAGCAACAAAGGATCATTTTCTTGTGTGTGTTTTTTTTTTTAAAGATTTTATCATTTTGAATCTTTTAAAAAAAGATTTATTTATTTGAATGGCAGAGTTAGAGGCAGAGAGAGAGGTCTTCCATCCACTGGTTCACTCCCCAACTGGCCGCAACGGCAGGAGCTGAACCAGTCCGAAGCCAGGAGCCAGGAGCTTCTTCCAGGTTTCCCATGCAGGTGCAGGGACCCAAGGTCTTGGACTGTCTTCTACTGCTTTCCCAGGCCATAGCAGAGAGCTGGATTGGAAGTGGAGCAGCTGGGACTTAAACTGGCGCCCATATGGGATGCTGGCGCTGCAGGCAGCAGCTTTACCAGCTGTGCCACAGCACTGGCCCCCATTTTCCTTTTTAAACTTGATCATCGCTTATTTAAACTTTGTGTTATAGAAAAGTTCAAATATAGATCAAAGTAGAGAGGTGTGTATACCTTGAATTCCATTCCATCTATGCCAGTCTTTGATCTGCTCCATCACTCTGTCCTCACTCTGTTATTTTAACAAAATCCTGACTTCATATCATTTTAATCAGCCAATTTGGAATTTCCCCAATGTGAAATTTTGCCTAGAGGCTGATTCCATAACGTGGGAAAAGTTGCTACCCATAGTGGTGATAAATTACTTGCCACCCTCCTTATCTTCCAATTCCGTTTCCTTTTTTCAAGATGTATTTTCTTTCTGTTTGATAACTGCCTTTTCCAGAAAAATAGTTTTCACGTGTCTGCTTCATGTTAAACCTGTATCATGGATGTATATATACTGGTACTCTTTTATACCAAATATATTCTTAAAAGATGTACATGAAAGTCGAATGTACAAAAAGATAAAATCTTTATATAAAGATGATGCTTTGTGTGCAAGTGTTTTTTGTTTTTTAATGATTTATTTATTTGTTTGAAAGGCACAGAGGCAGACAGCGAGAGTGAGAGTGTAAGAGAGAGAGAGAGAGAGGTCTTTCATCTGCTGGTTCACTCCCCAGATGGCTGCAGTGGCCGAAGCTGCGCCGATCCAAAGCCAGGAGCCAGGAGCTTCTTCTGGGTCTCCCACATGGGTGCAGGGGCCCAAGGACATGGGCCATCTTCTTCTGCTTCCCCAGGCCATAGCAGAGAGCTGAATTGGAAAAGGAGCAGCCCATATGGGATGACTGCATCACAGGCGATGGTTTTACCTACAGCCCCAAATTCATGCATTTTTTTAAAAGATTTATTTATTTATTTATTTTAAAGGCAGAGGCAGAAGGTTTTCCATCCACAGGTTCACTCCCCAAGTGGCTGCAGCAGCCACAGCTAGGCTGATCCGAAGCCAGGAACCAGGAGCTTTTTCATATGATTTTTCAAAACCCAGTGTGTATTTTTTGTACTTACAGCACATCTCAGTTCATACCAGCTCCCTTTTCAGTGCTCAGTAGTCTGGGATAATGGCAGTCATAGTGGCACAGACCTGTAGATAGTGGTTGTCTCTGAGGGAGAAACAAAGAGGATGAGGTGTTCTTAATTGTGTTCTTTATTTCAGTTATTAATCAGTGCTTGAAGTTAAAAAACTTGTTGCTTTTTGTATTTTTAATGATTGCCAGCTCTTACTCAATTGTATTGTCACTAGCATCAATTCTAATGGCCCAGCTCTAGCCGTTGCAGCCATCTGGGGAGTGAAACAGCAGATGGAAAACCTCTCTAGCTGTCTCTCCGTCTCTGTAACTCTGCCTCTCAAATAAATAGACCTTAAAAATTTTTTGTATTTATTTTCATTTTATTTGAAGGGCAGAGAGAATAGAGATCCATCTTCCATCTGCTGGTTCTCTCCCCAACTGTTCACAACAGTCAGGGCTAGGCCAGGTCAGAGCTAGAAGCTCAGAACTCCATCCTGTCCCCCACTTGGGTGACAGGAGCTCAAGTAATTGAGTCATCACCTGCTACCTCCCAAGATGCACATTAGCCAGAAGTTGGATCTGGAGTAGCCAGAACTACAGGCCAGGCACTCTGATACGAGAGGCAGACGTCTCAGTGGCAGCTTAATTGCTGTGCCAAATGCCTACCTTCATGAGCACTTTTTTTTTTAAAGATTTGTTTGTTTGAAAGAGTTACACAGAGAAGGAGAGACAGAGAGAGAGATAGAGGTCTTCCATCCGCTGGTTCACTCCCTAATTGACCGCAATAGCTGGAGTTGTGCTCATCCGAAGCCAGGAGCCAAGGAACTTCTGGGTCTCCCACGTGGGTGCAGGGGTCCAAGGACTTGGGCCATCTTCTTCTGCTTTCCCAGACCATAGCAGAAAGCTGGATTGGAAGTGGAGCAGCCGGGACTCGAACTGACACCCATATGGGATGCCGGCACTGCATGTGCTGACTTTACCTGCTATACCACAGTGCCAGGCCCCTCATAAGCATTTTTTAAAAATCAGTTTTAGGCCGGCACCGCGGCTCATTAGGCTAATCCTCTGCCTTGCGGCGCCGGCACACGGGGTTCTAGTCCCGGTCGGGGCGCCGGATTCTGTCCCGGTTGCCCCTCTTCCAGGCCAGCTCTCTGCTGTGGCCAGGGAGTGCAGTGGAGGATGGCCCAAGTGCTTGGGCCCTGCACCCCATGGGAGACCAGGAGAAGCACCTGGCTCCTGCCATCGGATCAGCGCCATGCACCGGCCGCAGCGCGCTGACCGCGGTGGCCATTGGAGAGTGAACCAACGGCAAAGGAAGACCTTTCTCTCTGTCTCTCTATCTCACTATCCACTCTGCCTGTAAAAAAAAAAAAAAAAAAAAAAAAAAAAATCGGTTTTAATTTTTGTAAAATGTTATGAAGTATTAATAACTCAAGTAACTTGTATACAAAGACAGTAATTCTACTGAAATTGAACCATTGTCAGGTAGGCAGTGCCACCCTGTGGAAGCTAAAGTTTATTCATCAATATATGAAGACTGAGGCCAGTGCTGTGGTGTAGCAGCATCTGCATGCGATGCCAGCATCCCATACGGCGCCAGTTGGATTCCTGGGTCTTCCACTTCTGATCCGGCTCCCTGCTAATGCACCTGGGAAAGCAGCGGAAGATGGGCCAGGTGCTTGGGCCCCTGCACCCATGTGGGAGACATGGAAGAAGCTCCTGGTTCCTGGCATCAGATCAGCCCAGCTCCAACCGTTGTGACCATTTGGGGAGTGAACCAGTAGATGGAAGGTCTCTCTCCCTCTCTGTCTCTCTCTATCTCTGTAATTCTGCCTTTCAAATAAAATAAATACATCTTTAATTTATTAAAGTAAATATATATAATATTAAATATTTTCATAGTACAGAATGTGGCTTAGGAGTATTAATGTATAATACATTAAACTTGAACATATTTTACTCTGAACTTTGGATAAATATATGTACTAGTATATAACATTTAACTACAGGATTAAGAATGACTGAGAAGTTGGTGAGAATGTTCTTTAAATGTGTGGTTTGTTCCTTTTTTAGGGGTTGCGGATGGTGTAGGAGGATGGAGAGACTATGGAGTGGATCCGTCCCAGTTCTCAGGGACGCTGATGCGTACATGTGAACGCCTAGTGAAGGAAGGACGCTTTGTACCCAGCAATCCCATCGGAATTCTCACCGCGAGCTACTGTGAGTTGCTGCAGAACAAAGTACCTTTGCTTGGTAAGTAGGTGTCCTACGTGTTTCCTCTTAAAGAGCCTGCTAAGCAGTTAAGAACAGAACCAAGAACATTGCTGCCGTCCCAGCTGTTTTCTGAGGCATTCCCTCCTAAGCAGAGTTTGATAATGAAGCTGTGGGCTCACTTGAATAGAGAAATTCTTGAGCATCTGTGTAACAAGAGATTGTACGGTACAGGAATGTTCTAACAACATTGTTGATAGAAGCAGGTAACTGGGAACAGCCTGAAAGGCCTTCAGTAGTGCAAATACATTATGAAGAGGAATGACTGGCCGGCGCTGCGGCTCACTAGGCTAATCCTCCGCCTTGCGGCGTCGGCACACGGGGTTCTAGTCCCGGTCGGGGCGCCGGATTCTGTCCTGGTTGCCCCTCTTCCAGGCCAGCTCTCTGCTGTGGCCAGGGAGTGCAGTGGAGGATGGCCCAAGTGCTTGGGCCCTGCACCCCATGGGAGACCAGGAGAAGCACCTGGCTCCTGCCATCGGATCAGCGCGGTGCGCCGGCCGCAGCGCACCAGCCATGGCGGCCACTGTAGGGTCAGCGCACCAGCCATGGCGGCCACTGTAGGGTGAACCAACGGAAAAGGAAGACCTTTCTCTCTGTCTCTCTATCTCACTATCCACTCTGCCTGTCAAAAAATAATAAATAAACAAATAAATAAATAAAAGAAAGAAAGAAAAGGAATGACTTAGGGGCCAACTCTGTGGCATAGCGGGTCAACGCCCAGGCCTGTAGCGCCGGCATCCGATATGGGCACAGGTTCGAGTTCCAGCTGCTCCTCTTCTGATCCAGCTCTCTGCTATGGCCTGGGAAAGCAGTAGAAGATGGCCTAAGTCCTTGGGCCCCTACACCCACGTAGGAGACCTGGAAGAAGCTCCAGGCCCCTGGCTTCAGTCTGGCCCAGCCCTTGCTTTTGGCAGCCATTTGGGGAGTGAATCATTGGATGTATGATCCTCTTTCTCTCTGCCACTCTGCCTTTCAAATAAATTAAAAAATCAGTCTTTAAAAACAAAGAAAAGATTCACAATCGTAGTAGTTCTCTCTAAAGAAGGAAGAAAGGGTAAGAATGGCCTGTAGAATTGAGTTGTATACAGACACCCCGGGCTACTCACAAGTAATGTCTGTGGAGTAGCTTGGCTCAGATTACATCCCTGTGCATCCTGTATTAGAAAACTAAATACCTCCCGTTTGTCTGGTAGGGCAGTGGAACATCCTTTGGCCGACCCTGGGAACTTACTCGGCCTTCTAATAAATTAACAAGCTCTCAAAGAGTGTTACTGAGTTTCTAGTTACTAGAAGTCCTCCCTTCCAGTTACATGCACATTTGAAATCAGCCCCTGATCAGAGTTAGTAGAGATGGCCATGTTGTAAAGTTTGCCTTCAATTTAAATCCTTTGTCTGAAGTTCTTTAATCACTCTGCCATATCCTGACTTCACTGCGTAAGCAGCTTGTTTCCCTTCTAATTGGAGGAAAATCTTGTCTTGCATGTTCCCTGCTGCTTTGTTGTTAATCCCCTATTTTGGATGTACAATCTGGAGTTTATCTGGTGCAATGAAACATCTAGATTCTGTTTCTAGTACCTCTTTGTCAACTTCCTATATGACTTGGGGCAAAACCACTTAACTTGCGACCTCCTTGCTTTATATATTACATGGAGAGAGAGCCCCTAAGACACAGATTCAGGGGGCCGATTACTGCATGTTCTATGAGCACCTCTACTGTCTCCCCTACTCCCCTCGTTGATTTCAACTTGGGATAACCAGTTACAAGACACATTACTTTAAACACTTTGGGTTATTTTCATATCTCTACTTCTGTTCCTGTTCACCCTCACATAATTTGGAAGATAAATTTACAATATAGAGGTTTTCTTTTATTGAATATTGTGATGATGTTTGTCTCCTAAGAGACAAGCTGAAGTAATCTTTCCTTGCTGTATTTGACACACAGGCCTGCCTGCCTCTCTCTCTTACCTATTCACACTTCTCTAGGCTGTTTGTAACCAAACTCCACCGTATTTTAGCAAAGACGGGCTGCTGATTTTTATTGAACCTCAGTTAGATATAATTGTAAATATTGATAACTTTGCAATATTAGCTATTTTTTTTAATCCAGCAATTGCTAAACTTACAAAGCAGCTTTGTAACCACTTATTTCTTAGACTTTCTAGCAGCTTTGAGGCCTGGGTTCATATCACATACTAATTCTTTTAAAGTTTTTTTTTTTTTTTTTTAAGATTAATTAATTTATTTGGAAAGCAGAGTTACAGAAAGAGAGAGAAAGAGAGATCGATCTTCCATCCGCTTTATCATTCCTCAAGAGGCCACAATGGCCAGGGCTGAACCAGGTCCGATCTAGGAGCTTCATCGTGGTCTCCCACATGGGTGGCAGGGGCCCAAGCACTTGGACCATCTTCTGTTGCTTTTCCCAGGCCATTAGCAGGGAGCCGGATTGGAAATAGAGTAGCCAGGACAAAAACTGGCGCCCACATGGAATGCAGGTGTCACAGGCGGCAGTTTTACCCACTACACCATAACACTGGCCTCTTGTTTTAAATTTTAATTGACTTTATTTTCAGTTCTAGAATCAGGCAATACTTGGGTTTCATAAAATAAAGTTTCCAACATTCTAATTGTTGACATACATTTCTTAAGAATTCCTGAAGTGAATTTAAAGAAGCCAACATATTGTAGAGTCTGAGGGATCTGCCCTCATCGGCTTATCCCCTTCTCTGTTTCACCACAGAAGGCTTGCTAGTAGTTTATTTATTTGCTTATTTTATTTTAAGATTTATTTATTTATTTGAAAGGCAGAGTTACCCAGAGAGAGAAGGAGAGGCAGAGAGAGAGGTTTCCCATCTGCTGGTTCACTCCCCAGTTGACCGCAACAGTCGGAGCTGGGCTGATCAGGAGCCAGGAGCTTCTTCCGGGTCTCCCACGTGGGTGCAGGGGTCCAAGGACTTGGGTCATCTTCTACTGCTTTCCCAGGCTGTAGCAGAGAGCTGGATGGGAAGTAGAGCAGCCGGGACTAGAACCGGCGTCCATATGGGATGCCGGCAGTGCAGGTGGCAGCTTTACCCGCTGTGCCACAGTGCTGGCCCCAGCTAGTAGTTTATAAAATATGAGGCTGAGCAAGAAGAGAATTCCATTTCAGTGTGCGGGCTTTGCCTGGGAGCCTCCCTGGTGGTTTTCTGAACATGCGGCACTGTCATTCCGTTCACCTCGTTTCTTCCGCGTCGCCTGCTTGTCCTTTCCAGACATGACAGTGAGGAGCCCCCTCCCAGTATTAGGCTGTCTTGGCCTGACTCACACTGCACGTCAGTGATGCGAGGCAGCAAAGAAGACGACTGCAGGCACAGAAGGCTCTGTGAGGCTCTGCTTGTGTTCATGGTGCTGCTCTCTGTGCTGGAGCTCCTGACTCGTGAGGACCGTTCTGATTCTAACTGCCAGGGGGCAGAAAAATGATGGCCTGGGTTTGTCAGTGAGTAATAATGAGTCAGTATGCGTCACCCCTGCAGCAGAATTCTCAAGGCTGTGCTACTCATCTGTCGTTTTCCATCCTCAGAACTGAACTTCATGCGGTTGTAGATCTTATGTCTGGCGATCCCATTAATGATAAATGGCTGGCGTGTTGGTGCAGTGAGTCAGGAAGGACCAGGAACTAGTGGTCTCTTCTCTGCAGTAAGCCTTAGAGCAGGCTCTCCGACAGCACTGACCTTACAGCGCAAGGTTTTGTTGTTGCCGTTGAGTGGGCAGGACTGGGTGGCCCAGCGTTAGTGTCAGGTCAGTCCCAAGTGCACATGTGGTAGGTGTCTTAATGTTAGAGTGAGAAGGGTGCTGTAGTTAAGTTTCTAAAATTTTACATTTTCCAGTAAAACAACATTAATAACAAAAACTACCCATAACTGCACTAAGAAAATTATTACTGTTTTAGTGATTATGTTCCCACAATTTTTTCTGTATATAATGCAGAAAATAATCATAACTTGAATTGAGTCCACTGTGTGCACACAGCAGCTCCAAGAGGTAGGAGGAAATAGGCCTTGAGGGAGTAAGTGCCTTGCTGTGTCTGTCAGCTAGAAAATGGTGGTGTACTGGGATTTAACACAGATGGTTCCAAAGCCTGTTTGGTTTGTTTTGCTTTTGAACTCTTAACAGTTTAAACTTTACCTCCTGATTTTTTGAAAAATTATAATAGTAAACATCACTGTTTTAAAATTTTTTTAATTAATTGCGTTTATTTGAGAAGCAGAGAGAAAGAAATCTCCTATGTACTGGTTTACTCCCTAAATACCTGCAACTGTCAGGTCTGGACGATGCCAAAACCAGAAGCCAGGAAACCAGTCTGGGTTTCACACATGGTTGGCAGGGACCCAGGTACTTGAGCCATCCCCTGCTGCCTCCCAGAGTGTGCATTAGGAAGCTAGAACTGGTGACAGAGCCACGACTCAGGCCCACACACTCTGAGATGGGATGTGGATTTCCCAAGTGGTATTTTAACTGCTGTGTGCCAAACACTCCCCTCAGCGGGACTGTTTCTGATGTATGGTGTTTTATATTCTTGGTTTGTTTGTTTGTTTTTTTTTTAAACAAAAGATTTATTTATTTGACAGGTACAGTTTCAGAGGGAGAGATAGAGAGATCTTCCATGCACTTGTTCACTCCCCAGATGGCCAAAACAGCCAGAGCTGGGCCAAGCTGGAGCCGAGAGCTTCATCCCGGTCTCCCACATGGGTGCAAGGACCCAGATACTTGGGCCATCTTCTGCTGTTCTCCCAGGTGCATGAGCAGGGAGCTGGATCGGAAGTGGAGCAGCCAGAACTCAAACCAGTGCCAATATGGGATGCCAGCACTGCAGGCGGCAGCTTAACCCACCGTGCCACAACACTAGCTCCAGTTTCCTATGGTTTTTTTTTGTTTGTTTTTTGTTTTTTTTTTGTTTGTTTGTTTTTGTTTTTGTTTTTGTTTTTGACAGGCAGAGTGGACAG